GAAAAATAATATACCGTAAAACCTGTGTTAGAAGGGCCCTTTTAATAGAAGGGGCCTTCGAGAGGGGTTGAAAAAAGAGAAGGGCCCCCTGGAATAGAAGGGCCATATGTGAATAAGGACCCTCGTTCAACCTGTGTTTTAGAATAAAAAAATTACCGTACTTTTTCAGTGGAAAATATTCCGGGAACTCCGCAATTTAATAGAATTTTGTTGAAACTCTATTTTTCGATGGAAAGTGTGATAGTTCTGTGTGAACACTTCCCGTCAAGGAGCGTGGCCTCGCAATTAGTGCTGCCTCTTCTCTCTCACCCAAGAAGCGTGCCTGCCACCCCGTCTTCAGTAGAGATGACTAGACCCGAGAATGAACAGTCATCCCGCGGTGTTCTCTTTTATTTATTTAACCTTTTCCCAATTTAGTTCACATGTTTTATCACCCCTAGTCAATCATCTATTTTAGAACCCCTTTAATCATGGAACCATTTTACATTAGTCTTTTTTCTTTTCTTAAAGGTGGGGGGACATGAAAAAAAATAATGTTCTCGAAATTCCGTTTAAATATGCCCCTCGAGGAGTTGAACTTGTGAGGGCGATGATTGAGGGTGCGGCGCCGCTACCGACTGAGCCATGCGTGCAAAGAGAAAGCGGACGCCCGATTGCATACTTAAAGGCGAGGACGACAGCTGTAAGCAGTGTGACATTAAGCGTTGTACACCGTCACGGTAGAATACATACTCTAGCTAAAAAAAAACTACGAAAAATCTCCTGTCCTCCCACCTTTAAAGGGGGACTCCGACCAAAAATTTTTATTGCCTTAAAATGTTTCAAAAAATATGTATTTTCATAATATTATTGCGAAAAAAATTCATAGAAAATTTTAAATCCCCGAAAAACGGCGTTGAAAAAAAATAGGATTTGAATTCCCGCGCAGTGAGAAACATAGGCCACGGCATCATAGCTCCTTTCTGACATGGAAATTTTTCCGGATTTTTTTCGGTTTTCATGTCCGGCAGGTAAAAAACTTAAAAACCCACTGTCGGCCGCTTGAAAAAAAAAACAGCTATCAGGCTCCGTGGCCTAGGTTTCTCACTGCGCGGGAATTCAAATCCTCGTCCCTCCTAGCAACTTTTTTTTGAAAATTTTTCGCTTTTAACAGCATTTTTCGGGAAATTCGGATTTTTTTCAAATTTTTTCGCTATAATATTGGGAAAATCGACAACTTTTTGAACATTTTAATGCAATAAAAATCTTTAAAGGAGGACTCCGAACAAAAATTTGTATTAAAACGTGTTAAAATTTATCTATTATTCGAATATTATTGCAAAAAAATTCAGAAAAAAAATCCGAAGTTCCCGAAAAAGGCGTTAAACAGGAAGACAATTCAAAAAAAAGTGCCGCCGATGCTATATAAAATAAAAACAGACATTTAATTTTTGA